CACCCTTAACCAAGACCACTTTCTTCTCGATCACATCAGCACCCTTAACCAAGACCACTTTCTTCTCGATCACATCAGCACCCTTAACCAGTGAATGGCAATATTCCGTGATTTTGAGAGGTTACCAGTGCTAGCTGCTTCATCCTGGGGGTTGGATATGCTCAGGACATGTTGATGCAAGAAGGCATGGACAGTTTAGTCTTACCACTCTCACCATTAAGGAAAAAAAAAGAGATTTTCACCACTGCTAATCACCACGCCCACCTTTTCAGTGGTGATAAGTGACTGCTGCCACATCACGGTAAAAAGAAAAACTGAAAGGGAAGATGAGGGCTGAAAACCTGATGGTGGTTTCAGCCTCCTGGGTCAGAGTTCAGGTTTGCACCTTTGTGGAAGGAGGTGGGATATTTGCCTTAGGCTGGAACTGGAAAGCAGGCAATCTCAAGCTTTTCAAAAAGGTTATTTGTCATTAGACTCTATCTCAGAGCCAACTGAAAGGGAGGGTGGATAGAGAAAAGGGTTGGCTGGCAGATTCTGCAGCTGCTTGATTTATTTCTCTTCTCTTCCCTATGAAATTTTTCCCAAGCTGAAATATAGAAATTTGTGTGTATTCCAGAGGATTACATAGGTGCACAATTTATCTAGCATTTTAGTGGCTAGACGGCTATTCTAGATGGCTCAAGGTCAGCAGACTTCATTGGGTTGCTTGCGCGTCCTCCACAGTGCGATTACTAGAGCATAGCCACACTGATTGCATGGTTCACAAGTGACTTTGTGTAGAAACCCTTCCTGACCTCCCAGAGCTGTAGGAGTTAACAAAAAGGACAGAAAATTAGTAATAGGGAGCTCACCTACCTTGGTAGATTCTGTCTCCCCACACTTCAGATGGCAAGAAAGAGGTGGGGACAAAGAGGGATCGCTTGAAGACTCTTCTGTAATCAAGGACGAATCCAAGGGAAGGAAGGGAAGGGAAGGGAGTGCCATGGGCAGTGCTCTCCCAACCTGTTCCCTCCTCTCATGGAGCCAAAGAGTAGCGGAGGGGTGGAAGGAGAAAGGAGGAGGAGAAAGAATGATCTTTGCTCCTGCTGCTAATAAATGTTAACTTTTGAACCCATCCGTTTCTTTATGGCTATTGAGCCTGGGGAGGGGCAAAAATGAAAGGACAAGGAGAAGAGGGACAACAGGCAGTGAAGGGAACAAATTYTCTTTTCTTTTCACCTTTTCTTTTCTCTTTTCTTTTCTTCTTTCGTTTCATTTCGTTTCATTTTGTTTCATTTCATTCCATTCCAACTGAAGCCATGTTGTGCCAATGAGGATTGTTTGTTGGACAGCCATATTGGGTTATCCATTTCCAATGAGAGAAACAATCTCTCCTCGTTCTCTTCTGGTGTTCAGAAGGGATATTCCTTCTTTCTAGGAAGCAAATAGGAGCCATATTGCTCACCAGGTGGAATTATCCCACATGCCAAGCTGGCCTCACTGGAAAACAGGATTGGAAGCAAGTACCCTCTCCCTTCCCTCTCAGAGCTGCCATCCAGCCATGGTTCACTTGAGAACAGAGGTAGAACATGATGGGAAATTCTCCCCTCCATGTCACCTAACCATGTCCCATTAGTTCATACCCATTCTTGTTGGATCATTCAGAAGGAACAATGAAGGAAACTTTCTATTTTCCAGAGTTATCTATTATGTGACTTAAAAATCTTGATTTATTTATATATATATTTTGCAATGGATAGTACATCATCCATTGGCCAACTGAACAGCATCCTCCACCTTGCTTTACCCATTACATACGTCTTAGCTGAGACAGCAACAATAGGAAAAATAATTCTTTTCTTTTGCTCTAATTGTAGGCATTGACGCTTTCATTCACTTTTCTGAACTTTTCTAGTTTTCCTGGGTTATTCCCTGATCCTATTCCCTAGAGTTTATAGTTACTATATACTATATAGTAACTATATAATATAGTATCTATACTATATGCTATATAGTAATATATAGTATTATGTAGCAATATATAGTTACTATATAGTAACTATACTATATACTAACTATACTATATAGTAACTCTAGTTACTATATAGTATAGTTACTATAGCCTTATATAAACTATCATTACTATAAACTTATAGTTACTATAAAGTATAGTTACTATAGCCTTATATAAACTTATAGTTACTATAAACTTACAGTTACTATAAACTATAGTTACTATAGGCTTATATAAACTATAGTTGCTATATATGTCCAGCTCAGACGCCTGCAGGACATGGCACTTGTCCCAAAATCGGAATGAGAATTCCAGCTGGGAGCTGGAACGTCCCATCCGCATGGAGCTGAGGCNTAGTTACTATAGCCTTATATAAACTATCATTACTATAAACTTATAGTTACTATAAAGTATAGTTACTATAGCCTTATATAAACTTATAGTTACTAGAAACTTACAGTTACTATAAACTATAGTAACTATAGGCTTATATAAACTATAGTTGCTATAAATTTATAGTTAATATAAACTATAGTTACTATAGCCTCTAATGTCTGCAATGGTTTTATTCTCTTTCCCTCTTGTGGACAGAGCACTCTTTACTTCCCCAATCCACTAGATGCAGCGCCTCCCATCACAGATTTTCCAAAGCAGAAGGAATCCTGACCGGGCGGAAGACGAGCGGAGCGAGCGACCCTTCGCTTTTGGGCACAAACGGGTAGAACGTGTGCGCGTCCCCCTCTCCAACGGGGATGGTGGCCAGGAGGACCATGTGCACGGCCTCGTAGAACTTCACGCGCCTCTCCTCCAGGTCCAGCAGCACGCCCACCACGGAGCAGGACGGCGGCGGCGGCTCCACGGCGGCGTCTCCGCGGCCGCAGAAGAGCGCTCCGCGGGAGCTGTGCAGAGCCCAGGAGTCGCCCGCGGGCAGCACGGCGCCCCGCTCGCGCCCGCCCCGCACCACCCCCAGCACCCAGTCCGGCCGCCGCGCCACCTCCACCTCCCAGTAGCGCTTGCCCGCCGCGAAGCCGTCCCGCGCCAGCGCGATGGGGACGGCGGAGGGAGCGCGCGCGTCGGCCGCTCCGGAGGGGTCGCTGCTCCTCGTGCCCGGCGCTGGAGGCACCTGCAGCTCCAGGTCTCCGCCGGCTGCATCCACGGTGATGGGGACTAGAAGAGAGGAGGAGAACGGTCCAAGCAGGTTGGCAGCGAGAGTGAGCAAGGTGATGAAGGGACTGGAGCATCCCTCGTATGAGGAGACACTGAGGGAGCTGGGCCTTGGAGAAGRGAAGGCTGAGAGGGGATCTCATCAACATGGAGAAGTTCATGAAGGGGAATGTAGGGAGGAAGGGGCCAAGCTCTTCTCAGYGGTGGCCRGKGACAGGACAAGGGGCAATGGGTGGAAGTTGAAACCCAGGCAGCTCCATCTCCAGGTGAGGAGGAACTTGTGCACTGGGAGGGTGCCCGAGCCCTGGACCAGGCTGCCCAGGGAGGCTGGGGAGTCTCCTTCTCTGGAGGTCTCCAAACCCACCTGGACGCCGCCCTGTGCCCCGTGCTCTGGGTGTCGCTGCTGGAGCAGGAAGGTTGGACTTGATGATCTCCAGAGATCCCTTCCAACCTTGAACCTTCTGTGATTCAGTGACTTCATCCAATTTAGCAGAGTGACTTGGGGACCTCTGTCCACCAAGCGCAAGGGGCAGATGTTCTAGAAACCCATCAGCAGTGTCTCACTGTTTCCTTTAGAGCCTCATTTCCTTTAGATGAAGCCCATTGAGGACCTATTTTTTTGATATGTGGGCAGCTCGCACATCAAATTCTCATGCATCCTCCTCTCAGCTTACCTGCATGGCTCTGCGCTTCCCAAAAATCTAAAAAAAAAAAAGAGAAAAAGATATCCATATTTGGGCATCTGTGGACATTAATCCAATGAACTTCAATGTTTTGTGAATCCTTGGGGTAGTAAAATACTTCTCAATCTAAACTATTCAGTCTACTCATCTACAATTATCTTCTATCTACAATTATCTTCTATCTACAATTATCTTCTATCTACAATTATCTTCTATCATTATTAATGCACCACCATATCTGGCAATGCAAACATTTTTTAAACCACTTACCTAAATCAATCCGGTATCGATCTGTAAAGAAAAAGCATTTACACTATTATTACTACTTGTTTTCTATATATTTTTTTCCTTTTTTTTTTTTTTTTCCAAAATAGGTTTCAAAATAGATTAGACATCTCCAGCTATGGGTAGAGGGACTTTTTTTTTTTAGGTCATTTAAATTTTTGTGACTGCATTCCAAAGTGAAGACACAAACTGGGCCTTGCACCTTGGCCTATCTTTGCTTCCATTTTGCAGTCCTTCTAAAGGACATTAAGTCAATGGGAGGAACGGGAGGAGATCTCTTCCTTCTTGGTGTCGTCACAGTGGTTCCAGTAGACTTGATTTATGATGAAATGCAATGTATGTGTCCAAAACTGTGTCACAGGGCTAGGCATGAAGAACTTCCAACCAAGGAAGATTTCATTATCCTGAGAGTCAGTTATCTACTGTATTTCTTGAAGGAAGAAACAGAATCTCATTGTGATGAGATATTTACTCCAGGCTTCTGATCCAGGAAGATGCGTGCAGACTATATGTTGACTAGCTTTGCTGTTTATAAAGACCTTAAGAATGCAAGATTTATTCAAGACATATTTTCTTACCAAGACGTTGTTGGTTTTCAGCCTTTGCTGTAAAAGAAGAGCATAAATGAGTTAAAAGAAGATTTAACGAAGCATTTAAGGTAAAAACAGAAATAAACAGTTACCCCTTATGAAGAATGCTGTGCAGATAGTGAAAAGTTTTTAACTTTAAAATTTGCAATGTGAAATATGTCAACTTAATTCTTAAAAATATATGATATTAATAAGATTCAGGTATAAACTAACATTTCTAGACAGGAATATAATATATTTTTCTGTAAGTAGAAAAGTATCGCTAGCCTCTTAATATCAGAATCAGGCTAAATAATAATTTTGAGCAGTGCCTCAAAATGAAATAGAAATAGCAACCATTAATATAAAAAATAAGCCATAGTTTTAAAAGAAATAGCTTATTTTTGTTGTCACATAAGTCTTCCTGAAAGTTCTGATTAACGTTAATTTTAAGATGTAGAATTATATTTACCTCCTTCAGTTGTTTCCTTCTGTACCTCTAAATTGATCCAAAACAACACAAAGAACAAAAGAAGAAGAAAAAGAATAAATATTACTGCAGTGGAGAGTGAACAGCTGATTTAAGTTAGACGTTAAAATGAGAAAATGAGCTTTTAAATTATTCCATTGTCTTCAGTTATTAAGTCTGAATTAAGTACATGGAAATCTAAATTAAAACGTCTTTTAATTTAAAGTCGAACTGATAATAAAAAAAATATGTTGGAAGGTGTAGACACATTCAGAAGTATATCACGTGGAAATGTTCTACAGCTTATTTGCTCTTGTATGTGATTGTGAAGATTTACTACCATGTATGAAGCTGATCAGGCAAGAAATATTACATTTTTCAGAGATGCAAATAGCATGCATATGAACATGAACAATATTCTTACCTAATTTTCTCTTCAGATGTTGTTTGTCTGAAAGAAACAGAACACAGCTATCGGTGTAATAAAATCACATACTATCTAATATAGGGTAAAACTTGAAAGGCTTATGAAGCAAAAACATTAACAACTTTTAAGCTGAACATTTGCTTATATTACACACCTCTTCTATGCAGGCACAAGCAACTACTTCTTAGAATTATTATTTATATTCAGTTTATTATCAGAAAAGGTATTGAGTTAATTAATGGTATCTTCAGTGCAAAAAAAATTGAAGTTACATTTCAAATTATTCGTACAATCACTCTATCTGCCTGCTTTTTCTTAAGAAAAATGAACTCAGAGCAAAATAGACAACTCATGGCAACTCATAGGGCCATGAGATGAACAGGTGCTTTCATTTTGGAGAAAACTTCAGAAAATTCAACATTTTTCCCTTAGCTTGATTACTCCACAGACTCCATTGCTGTCTGTTTTTGTTATGTTTTGTATCTTGTAATTTTTAGAAGATTACCCTAAATGAAGAACTCTCCTCTGAACTACCAACAACGGAGTTAAAACATTTTAATAATTAAGAACAATGTGGCTGATTGTGACTTAAAACTTAAAGGACTGATAATCTTGAAATTCTTGTCAAAGGAAACCAAGTGCCCTAAAATAGTATCTTTGAATGTATGATTTTAAGGTATCCTGACAATTTTCAAAGGGTATTTACCTTGTTCCAAGGTCGTCCTCATTATTTCTGAAAATAAAGAGAATCATATTGCCATATTATTAATGCCCTTAAACTTCAATTAACAATGCAATAAAACAGCAGTGAAGCTAATCAAAGAATCTCAGTAGAAAGCTGAGCTCATGGTTTCTGTAGAGAAGTAATTTTTTTTCCATGGGGTATTCTCAATGGGGTATTTTTTTCAATGGCTTCAATGTCAAAAGACCTAAGAAGTGCCTGAAGAAAAATGTACTCCTGGAACAGCAAGACAGACCCTGCATATATTGAATAACATTGCTATGACTTCTAACCTGGAAAAAATGCTAGAGACAAGCAGGATTTTCACCTGCAAACCGGCAATATCTGCAGTCCTCAAGGCAGAACTAGATTTGTTGACCAACGTTGACCTAGTGCTATGAACATTTTTAATTATTATTATTTATTTTTTGTCTCAAGGAACAATTGAGTGAGTTGGAGCTCTTGGTTCTGGAGTGATAGAAAGAGAGAACTAGACTGGAGTCCACTACTCCAGTTATTATCTGTGCTAGCAACTAGAATTTCCCATGGAAATTTCCCATGGAAATTCCCGTTGCAGGAAGCAAACCTCATTGCTGAGGAACAGATGGCAGATTTCAGTGCAGATCCGTGTCCTGATATTCCCAGTTCACTTCTGTCCATAACAAAATTGAACAGCCCAAGTTTTGATCATGTGTTCCTTTTTGTCATTTCTCTATTTTGCGAAACTATTTCTGAATCAGCAATAAGGGGCATAAGCTTCTCTTCTAAAATATTTTTAATCTATGATTATGTTTGGCTCTGTGGTTACTCACTTGCGTCCTGTGTCCTTTTAAAATTACCTGGGAAAACACACACAAAAAAAGAAACAGTTATTTATCTATTTTAAGAGACGGGGCCTCTTTAGAATATTGCTCTATAATATCAAAATGAGAAGTTTTGCATTCTAGGTGAAAATTTCCATATCGGATGTTGTACATGGAAATACTTACTCTTCAGTTTATAAGCTAGAGCACCGATAACCACTGCGTTTAAAAATAAGAGTACAAGGAAGGCAGTCATCCAAGGTGAGGTGGAAGGAAAGAAGGCATCTGGAAAATATAGACAGTTGGACTTTCCCTTAGTGGTTGTGAGACATTCAAGACAATTAAAACTTGGTTATCTACTGACAATTTAGCTCCTATAGGGTAAACCTCACTGTCTCCAGCTGTCATTCCTGAAGGTTGTAGGTCTCCTCTCAAACCCAAACCACGCTGATCAATCATATGCCCAAGGGCATCAAAGGTATTATTAGATGTCTCTCTTCCAGCAATCAAACTGTGCTCCCATATTTCATATTGAAACACTCATTAAGATTCAGTTCCTATGAATCTGGTGGAGAAACTGCCTTCCTATTAATCTTTACGATCAATATATAACTTAAAAATACCAAGTAATCTACAGCATAAAAACGAACTTCTTATCATGTCCACCACCTCAGCATTAGTTATTTATGCTTGGGTTGGGTGTCCGTGATTACTCCAGGATCAATGGGGTTGACCATGGCCAACAGCCGACCAACTAGTTTTGTTAATAGTTGTGCCTGGAGGTTGCTCACCTGAAATCAGGACTCGGGACTCACATGCTGTGTTCAGTAGGTCATTGACTACTCTACAGGATACTTCCATGTCAGATTTGGGTTCAAGGTTCATGGAACTTATGATGTCAAAAACACCTGAAGACGTCCTCTCATTCTGGGTGATGACTTTCTCCTTTCGTATCTCTCCTTTACTGTCCAGCCAAACTACTTTGGGCTCTGGAAACCATCCATGGGACTTGCAAGTGAGGCCAATGCCCTGTCCCACATGCCCATCCAGAAAAACAGATGACTTATCACCTGCGGCTATAGAAAGACAAGCAAATATAATCAAAAAAACCCAGAAAACTAAATATTCTCCGATCAAACAGTATTTGATGAAAGGGTATTCCCCAGATTACATAATCTGTAAATTCAACAAAATTGCAACTTTAACATGATAATGATTAAATAGTTCCTCCTGTGCTACATTAAAACTGAGACATTTATATGCAATAAATATATGCAATAAATCTATTGCATTTTTGCAATGCCACTATGGATTCTGGCAGATGGTTTTGAATGGCATGGTATTATTATCAAACAATCTTGCCCTTCTGGTAAAAAAAAAAAAAAAGTTAGACAACATTTTTTCTGTAAAAGATGGTAGAAAGTAGGTAAGATGAATCCAAAAAATTAGTTGGATAAATAAATCCATAGCGTTTACTGGCAACTGGACTAAGAATGAGGTAGAAAATTTCTGTCCTTCCACTCACCTGCCACAGACAGTTCAACTACCACTTCATCATACCAGTTCTCAAAAAAGACACTGCAGGTGTATTTTCCTTTGTCAGAGACCATGACGTTCTTCAGGTAGAGAGAGACATTTCCCTTATTAAATTCAGTATGAAAGAAATTCGTCCTGCCCTGGTATCTCTTGTCTTCGGTAACTGGGTTTTGTGTGTTCTTTCCATCATAGATGCTCACGTCAATGTTCTCAGAGTTGGTGGTAAATATCCACTGGATAGAAAGCCTCTCAGATATAGTTTTAGCTTGCAGTTGACAGGGCAGGATGACTCCTTTCCCAATGACTCCAATGACAGGATTATCAGGAGGAATGATTTTAAACTGGCCTGCAAAGAAATATATTTTGAGTCTTATCAGTAACAGATATTGTCATTAGAGCACCCAAAAGACAACTGGAATTGGTCAAATTCCAAACCAAAAAATTGTTTTTTACAGTCAAATCTGACTGTAAAAAGGCAAATTCACTGATGAGAGACCAAGGAGGGCAGGGAATTGGAGAAGAAGACATCCTGTGACAATAACCCAGTCACATCTCTGTAAACCCAGGCTGGCCTATAAACCAGGCCCTTTTGTAAAGCTGGAACTCACAAAGGCAGGGCTTAACTTCCGATATCCATAATATTTTCCACTGGAATAGCTACTTTAGGTGATAAATTGCACTTCGGCAAGTTGCTTTCTTTTCAAATATAGTCCTCTTAATAAAGACAGTATATATAGTGCTCTTATTAAAGGCAAAAACTGACTGGGAGGTACAAAGAGGAACATGAGCTTTCTTTGCATGATCAAATGATAGGACCAGCTGAGCTGCATAAAAATCTAAATCAGATAAAGGAAGCGCAATGAAAGTGAGGACCTCATGGAAGGTCTATGGCTCTATAATCCTATATTGAAGGTTTAAGCAGGTCTTTAATATTGCCTAGACTTAAGGCTTTCTCTGCACAAATGGTTAAATTCATCAACCAGGTGAACGCTGTGGTCTGCAGAAAGGAAATGGGTTAATTTTGCATGATACTTAGGATTATAGAGTGTTTTTAAAACAAAGGCATTATGAGAAATATATAACTGTATATAGTATGTATATATGCATATATTGATGCAAATATTGTATTAAAATATATATTTATATTATATATATATTTATATATATAAACTTTTTAAGTTTATTCCTATTATCCCTATAAATTATATATCTTATTTAAATGAAAATATGGTTAGAAGAACCTAGATTTACCTATGACCAAATGGATGAGCTGTAGCAAAATAACGATGTGAGGATTCATCACACAATGGAATGTGCAGCCCATCAAAGTTCAGGGGAGGACATCAATATGCAGAACTTCCAGGACAATCTTACTCCAGGAGAATCTTACGCGATTCCTGTAACCTTTTGAGGTACAGAAGGAAAATGAGAAGACTGAATGAAGAAGTAGGGCCACGTGTTTCTTTATATATTGTAGGATATGAAGCAATACAACGTCAAAATGAAGAAAAAAATTTAATGGAACTAAAGCAACTGAGCTGGAGTTCTAAGATTCATATTTATCCATCAGGAAGAGAGACAAAGAGAAAGAAATTCTATTTAGATAGCTGTGATTGCTGTGAGCTATTCTGCGTATAGGAATCTTCCAGTTTGGATGCCAAAATCTCTCTGCATTATATGAGGCTATAAACAAAATCCAACAGGACTTTTCAAATGCCTAAGCTTAGGCAGGGGAGCTCAGGAGTCTTTAGAAGGGATCTTCATCTACAAGGTCCCTTAGAATGAATCTTTTCTGCAGTCCGTAGGAAACTCTGTATGTATTTTTTATTACTTGGTAAAAATCTGGTAAAAACGAAAAATGGAAGTCTCAATTTTACACATGCTCATGAATATATAAATCTACATCTCATTTACTGATTAGAATTAACCAAATAATGTGATGCAACTAAATTATACCACTCTTCAAGCTCATTAAGACTGTTTAAAGCATTGTATATATGAGAAATATATGTGTACATACCCACCGGATAATCATAATAGACTTCTTTGGATGAGTCTATATCTCCAACACAAAAAGAAGGAAATAAGTTTTCCTTGGTGTTGGAATCAGCAGACTACAACACGGAGAACATAATTCCATCCATTATAAGTGTTTCAGCAAACTCTCTCTTTCAAGCAACCTAGAAAACAGCATTACTTGGTTTTATTAGATTTTATTAGTTATTTTTATTAGTTTTTATTAGTTATTAGTTATAAGTAACATTTCCGTGGTTAATTTTCTCTTTAATAAAGGTTGCTGACACATAGCAGCTCATGAAAAACTGTAATCCTGGATTAGATTTATATTATTCAGATTTAGTGAAGAAGAAAATTTTATCATTTTCACTCAGGTTGTAAGCAAAATGGAACTTAAATGATTTTTAACCTATCATTAAAATGGCGTCCACAAATGACCGGAACATCACCCAAAGATCCGGACAAGAAAAAACCTCTTTTTAATTTCAAATAATTCCCTGGGAGCTGCAAATAACAAAATTTTGGCTCAATAATCACGCAAAGCAGCCCAAATTTTCCCTATTCCGATCAGACTTTAATTACTTACCTGAATAAGCAAGATCCAAAGTATGCATTTTAAGTTCTTCATGGGTTATGGTGGTGAGGAATCTTTGCCCCTTCGCGGTAAGCTGCTGAACTTCTGTACTTTCGTTTTCCTGATTTATACAGTAATCTGCACGCTAAAGCTAACAAATAATAAATCAAGATCTTTTATCTTTCGCAGCCCGTTGCCCTTGGGTAGGTGCAATATTCCAGCCAATACCGGCAGAACTTCCTGTGTTCCATCTTGTGGTCAAGATGAACCTCAAGATGGTTGTGGAACTGCCTTGTTCTACCTAGGAACATGAAGAGAGGTGAAGTGGGAAACAAGGAGATATTTTGGTCTTGCAGCATAGATCTTGACACGTACTTTTTCCCCTGATCAGATTATTGGAGCCTCTCTAGCCCTATTGGATGCTGAATATGCAGTTGCAAACTTTAGTGGCAATAAAGATGAGGACAAAGGTTCACCACAACCATACGCCATATAGAAGTCATATGGTTCTTACTGTCCAGGTAAGAAATCATGCTTTTGCTAAATCCATAAATAAAAAAACACTGCATTTTCAATGAGTGAACTCATATAGATTCAATGGGTGGCACTTACAGAAATTAATTTGCCTGCTGGGGTTGCATTATTGCTGTTTATTTAAATCTTGTTCATGTCCAGTATTTGGACATGTAAGGGGAAAAAATAAAAATAAAATGAAAAAAAAATAAAATAAAATATAAAAAAATAAAATATAAAAAAAATATAAAAAAATAAAATACAAAAAAATAAAATACAAAAAAATACAAAAAAAATACAAAAAAAAATACAAAAAAATAAAATACAAAAAAATAAAATACAAAAAAATAAAATACAAAAAAATAAAATAAAATAAAATAAAATAAAATAAAATAAAATAAAATAAAATAAAATAAAATAAAATAAAATAAAATAAAATAAAATAAAATAAAATAAAATAAAATAAAATAAAATAATCTTTGTTGTTTCATTGTTGTTTTGTTAGAGAAGACTCAAGGATACTTTCAAGAAAAGTATTTAAGTACAGAAAAGTCATCTTCAGTAAAGAAAGTGAATATGCTGTTCTCCACATTTAAAAAAACGTGAGAAGTCAAGAACATGAGAGAATTTTCTAAACATAGTGATACTTAAATCTGGAACATATCAAAATTAGACTACAGAAACTCTATGGAGAGAGGCTTTTAAGTGCTTGCTAAAAACTGGAAATCAGGGAAGATTTAGTTAAAATCCCTAGCAGCTACAATTTCTACTATTCTATAACTGCCAAAGAGTGTATGCCCTGGGAAGAATATGTGTTTAAACATTGCATCAGCATATTTTTTTTTCTAAAATGATATTATTTAGTAGAAATAATATGGGAAAAGGTGCTTACGTTTCATGCTGTTGCATTTTATAGGCTCATTTGTAAGTGTTAGCACGGGAAAAACAAAACCAGCAACACATTTTTCAGGAAAAAAAGCCCGGGTCCTAATGATTTTGAAAGTGAACTCCTTTATTTAGTGATGTTATGCCATTTCAACTCACGGATCAGTTCAATTCACAAACCTTTTCTCTGAGTAGGCTCAGTAGTGATTTTGACAGCCAAGATCCAAAATTTGGTTCCAAATTTTCACGTTTCAAATTTCTCATTGTCTCATTGAGGTAAGCCAACAGGGAGGTCAGTACATTCTTGTTCCTAGAAAATTATCCATAAGTGTTTTTAGTTTTCCATTAAGGAATAAAAAAAACCACAAAAAAAAAAAAAGAAAAAAGAAACATTTTCTAGTAAAATTGGTAGTATCAAGCCCATTACTGATAAGCGTATTCTCATTTTCCCTATGACATTGAGCTCTCTCTGCACTTACCCTTGTTGTCTTGGCTTGAACATGTGAAGAGACCAAAGGAGTCCTACAACAATTTCACCTGGAAGTCCGTTGATTGGGAAGCCTGGTTATTGATGGATTCCCAATTTCAGTGGCTGACAGCTCTTCATATATTGACTTTTCAACGTATACCACATCTGATTACAGGTAAAGATAATTCCCCTTTCAATATATATTAATAAAACGTCTTACTTCTGCCAAGGTTCATGGAAGTATGAAAGTTAAAAAATAATGAGTCTATTTTTTATCTTTTTTGTTTTTTTTTTAACTTGGATGATACATAAACACTTGCCAGATATAAACATGTGCTGCAATTTGAGATTTGTTAAGGTACCTGAGACATCATCATAAACTGGATGATAGGGCCTGCAGGAAGCTTTGACTTTCTGCTGAATGAAGGCCAAGTGGGATAATTCAAGGTGAGTTTTGTAGCACCAGACCCTCTGGTGTAGACAACTGAATTGTGTCCAAGGTGCTGAATTCAGCTCACGGACCTGGTTGCCCATTTTTCAACCTCCACAAAATGGTCCATACGTTGTGGGTAGGATTCATCTCATATTGCTTTGGAAGCATCGCATTTTTGCATCAAGATAGTCCCCCTAGATTTCTGCCTTCAAAGAAGAGAATAGGACCGGAGAGCCACTGGTCCCATGGGACCAGAGAGCCACAGCCTCACGTTTTCTGAACATTATTCAGTTGTTTATGTCATCTGCCATTTTTTTTTTTTAATTTTGATTTTGGGCTCCTCTCCTACTAATATGGGTATTGGTTCTATTAGTTCCAGAACTAATGGTTCTAGAACTGGTTCCAGAATGGTTGCAGAACTATACGGTCCAGAACTAGGACCATAGAAAATGCAAAATGCACCAACATAAACCACTGCAATGGGTCAAAAATGCAATTATATCTCCACACAGGTCAGTTTGTAAGCTCTCTTCCTTACACTACAGTCACTGGAGTCATTGGAGAAGAGATCGTTCTGCCTTGCCGCGTGGTAGCAGAGCACGTTCCTGAGATATTTTCTGTCCAGTGGATATTTCACGAACAATCTGAAAAAATAACTGTGAGCAGATATGACGGAAAAAGCAAAAAAGAGATACAAGATGAGAGATACCAAGGAAGAACATATTTTTTCCACAGTGAGTTCAGAGCTGGAAACATGTCTCTGCACTTGAAGGACATCAAGAACTCCGACAAAGGGTCGTATACTTGTCTGGTCTCCTTTGATAACCACCAGCATGATGAGCTCATTGAACTCGAGGTGGCAGGTCGATGACTATTCTCTCTTTTAATATAAGAAAATTGCTGACCAGAAACATATATATTGATTATTGCCTTAAGGAATGAGCATATAATTTAGCTTCAAAGCTTGAAACAATGAATCTAACCCTAATATTTTCTGTTTTCATGAATGCATTATTTCTTCATAGACTTCTTTCAGTCCACCAATATTCATAATTTTATGGATTTTCTTCTTACATATTTTCTTACCTATCCCCTGGTAACCTCCCTCCAGAATAGCAGCCTCCAGTTAGCATTATCTGTTGTACTCTCCATTAATTATTTTTTTTCTCAATTTGGCGGTTTCTGGCCATGCCAAACTGCAGAGCGTGAAGAAAGAAGCTTCAGGGCCTACGAATCTGTCATAGTTTAGGTTCAGAAAAACCTTTCTATGCAATTTCACGCAAATTAAAAAAAACAGTTAAAGCGCTTTATCAAAAATTGCTCAATTTTCCTCACCCAGTGGTGCTTAGAATGGAGAATATGTGTGTTTTTTTCCTTAGCTAGAGGCATTGTGCCTTCCATTTTCCTGAAGAATTACATGAAGGAGAGCATCAGCCTCAGCTGCCACACAGAAGGGTGGTTTCCTGAACCCAGGGTGATTTGGTTGGACAGTCAAGAACAGATCCGAAGGGAACCATCCACCACGAAGATAATGATGATGCCTGCAGGCCTGTACAGTGTGGTAACGTCAATGAACCTGGAGCCCGGATCTGATATGGAAGTCTCCTGCAGGATAGTCAACCGTCTCCTCAACACGACGAGCGAGTCCCGAGTCCTGATTTCAGGTGGGTCACCTTCACGTAGACTCTCTGCTAAATGACAAGTCTCCCATTTTTATGTCATGAGGTGTCGTGAAGATGTAGCCCCAAAATCAGTGTGCAGTATTGGAGAAAAATTCATATGAGCTGCTGTAGTATTGCATCTTTTCCTCGGCTTTACTGTACAGACTTTGACCTGAGTCCAGATGTTAGTATTTTCACTCTACTGGATTATTTTTCTTTTTTTTTTTTTTTGTCTTTCTCTCCCTTTCTCTCTCCCTTTCTCCCTTTCTCTCTCCCTTTCTCCCTTTCTCCCTCCCTTTCTCTCTCCCTTTCTCCCTTTCTCTCTCCCTTTCT